ACCTCCAGGGCAGGCGGGAATCGAACTCATGCGGAAGCGGTTTTAGATTCTCAGTGCTGTGCTTTAACCCGCTGCGCCACCAGGGAGGGCCAGTTCTGAAATTTTTTAGAAACAATGTCTTTTCAGTCTGTTTTGAACATATTGATGTAAACATTGGGTGAGGGAAGATAACTGTATGTATAGGACATAGTGTATCATGCAATGAAAGGATTAGCCTCCCAAATATATAAACAACAGCCACTGTTTAAAAAAAAAAAAAAGGTCCCTTAGGAAAATGGGCAAAAGAGGTGGCCAGACACTGAGTATCATATGAACCTCACTAGTAAGCAGGTGAAATTCTGTTTCACTCCCACCAAATTGGCTAAGTGTGAAAGTCTGATAAGGATGCAGTGAGGGCATAGGGGAAGGAGTGGTCCTACACCACTGTTGAAGTGGACGTGACACAGCCACTGTGAGGAACAATCTGGAAGTGTCTAGTAACATTGTGAAGGTGTGTATAATGATGGTAGTTCCACTTTCAGGTGTGTGCACGTGGGAAGATACACAGCTCCTGTTTTTAGAGCAGAACACTGGAAACCTAAATGTCCATCAGGAGGAGAATGAATGAGCTACATGTTACAGGCATGACCTAGGTGAACATGAGGGGAGCTCAAAACTTGAGCAAAAAAAAAAAATCAAGTTGTGGCCCTCCCTGGTCGCGCAAAGGGTTAGGATGTAGCCCTGTACAGCACTACAAGCTGGCCACAGCCACTTCAGTGTGAGTTCAGTCCCCACCTCAAAGATGATCCACACGACCCGGCAGACCTCTCCTGACCCTCCTACTGCTCTCCTGAGCAGTGCACTTTGTCGATCTGCCTATTCTGCTCCCCACTCTGTCTCTGGTGAAGCCTCTCACTGCCTCTGCACCTCTGGCCTGTACCCCAGCTCTGTATGCATAAATAAATCAATCTTTAAAAAAATCAAGTTGTGGAATAATATGAATAGCGTAATCCCAAATATGTAACATTAGCCCCCCCCAAATACTACATTTCCATGATAAGATAAAGATACTTGAGTATACACACACATATCACAGATGTATTTAAAAGTAGACCAGAGGGGGTGCATTTGGGGAGTAGTAGTGTGGGAGGGCCAGGTAGGGAGATGTTTTAGTATAGGGATGCTGGCCAGAGTTACAGAGTGAGAGGCAGACATGTCTACTCAGCCTACTGTAGGTGGTAAGACGGCTTCAAGAGGGAGGGGTTTGAGGGAAGGCAGGGTCAAGAGAATATTATTTTAAAGAATGAATCGAAGACAGAGATTCAGTGCTAGAGAAATCCTTGCTAGAATAGGACCCTGGGAGAGGGGTGTGTGGGGTCCTGGACCCTACTCCTAGATGGGTGCTCCTCACTGACAACGAGCAGTTCAGCTCAATTCTGCCTGGACATAGCAGACAGGTCAAGAGTTCAGCCCCATAAGTGTGCCCTCTCAGATGCCAGTCACAAGCCTTGGTTACTTCCTGTGCTTCCGACCCACGGGCTTTGACTAAGAGGTTTGCGTAATCCTCCTCCTTCCTTGGGTTCTATTAATTTGCTAGAACAGGTTCTAGAACTCGGGACATTTTATGTGCTAGATTACTGTATTGTAAAAGAAGATAGCTCAGAAACAGCTGGTTGGAAGAGATGCATTAGGCAGTGTGTGGGGAAAGACCAGGAAACCCCCATTCCCACCAAGAGCGCGGTTCTCCCAAAGAGTTCACATACTCACCAGCACCCAAATTCTCTGGACCCGGTCTTAGGTTGTCTTTGAGGCTTCATTACATAGGCCTGATTGATTAAATCGGTGTTGGTTTAACCTCCAGCCCTTCTCCTCTTTGGAGATGGGTGGGGGTCGGGTGCATGGAAAGTTCCAGCCTTCTGATGGAGGTTTCTCCTGGCAGCCTAAGCCCCCTGCTTAGGTGGAATCTGAAGTCTCCTCCATCGCCTAGCAAAAGATGATTCTATCCCTCCCAAGTATTAGGCAGTTCCTAGGTTTTCAGGAACTGTGAGCCAGGAACTGTGGAGGAAGATTAAGTATGTGAGAAAATTATTGTGGCATATGAATGACCACATATGTATTTCTTATCAATCACAATATTGCAGGAGGGAAGGGAGGCATGGGCTGAGAGGGAAGGGAAAGATGGGCTCTGGAGAGGGAGGTGCGAGGGAGGGAAAGGACAGCAGATACAGCTGAGCTTTGGGCCATGGCGGAGGGAAAGCGTAGGGAGTTCAGGGCTGGTTCTGACACATCTTTCAGGAGTGTGGCCACGGTTGATGTGATCAGCCAGGTGTACGCAGGATTTACTTGCCCTGTTTTATGTCTGAGACTGCTCGGAACGAGCCAGTGCTGTCATCTCAGCTTTATTTTCTGAGTGTCCCAGGCAGCATTCAGTTTTTCCTCATTTCTAATCATTTTTATTGATATGTTCTGGGATTTTAGACTTAGGTTATAGTTAATTTTAAAAAGCTTTTCAATGTCCATGTTTTTGCTTTTCAGTTTTTTCTGTAATTGATGTTCCCTTGTTATCTTTGTACCATGGTCTGGTAGGGTACAGGGAAGATTTGGATGTGTATATATATTTTGGATGTGTGTGTATATATATATAGAGAGAGAGGTGAAGTTGTCCAAGATTATGACCTAGTACCATGCACCACAGGGTGGCATGTGACACTGCAGATTCTCCCATTCAAGAGTAAAATATAATACATACATATTTTAAAGATTTATTTATTTGTGCATACAGAACTGGGGTACAGGCCCGAGGTGCAGGGGTGGTGAGAGGATTCACCAGAGACAGAGCAGGGAGCAGAATAGGCAGATCGACAAAGTCCACTGCTGAGGGGAGCAGTGAGCAGGTCAGGAGAGGTCTGCTGCGCCATGTGGTCACCTCCAGGGCAGGGATCGAACTCCTGCTGAAGTGGCTTTAGCGTCTTTGTGCTGTGCTTTAACCCGCAGCGCCACCAGCAAGGGCCCCAGATGCATATATTTTTAAGAAGCTCAGTTATATGTATTTTCACTGTCAAAATTTTAAGAAAAAGAAATCCAGATGAGCAAAACAGTGCATAGTTGATACTGTCGGTCAAAGCCAGTGCTTACTTTTGGGTAAACTTTTCTTCGTAATAGTGTAGTGACCACAGTCCAAGCACTGAGTCCACCTGCACAGGTTTGAGTTCTGCTGGAAACACACACTAGGTCATGACCTTGGACAACTTCACCTCTGTACAGTACTTCAGTATCTCCTTTGATTAATGAACCCAACAGGAAGTGCTGGCAGTTAATGATATCGGTAATGAGTTACAAATTAAAACAGAGCAATCCCATTTATTTCTGTACTTTGAGCTGTTGCTTATGATTGATGGCTCCTAGAAAAGCACATAAAAGTAGTTGCTCATCATAAACTCCTGTCATTTGTATATACTTTCTTTTTTAAATGTTTATTTATTTATGCATATGAACCCCATGGGTTACAGGCCAGAGATGCAGGGGTGGTGAGAGGATTCACCAGAGAGTGGGAAGCAGAACATGTAGAGGGGAGCAGCAGGCATACAGGAAAGGTCTGCTGTGCCATGTGGGTCACTCCCTGGCCGAGGATGGAACTTGTGCTGCAGTGGCTGTGGCCAGCTTTGTGCTGTGCTTTAACCCATTGCACCACCAGGGAGGGCCCATACATTTTCTTCTTTAAAATTGAATTGTGCCTTGCATGTCATTAGAAATTTTAAAAGAATCAAATGCATCATAATCTGCATGTCTATACATGATATGTGCATAGATCATTTATTTCTTCACTCATCAAATAGTTGATAATTGACAATTTATAAGACCCTCATTCTAAAGCCACGTACAAAACATCTTACACTATTGTGTGAGAAAAAAGACATTAAATACCTAATTACAATGACCTCTTAGTTACACTTGAGATACCTGCTTTGAAGACACACAATGTGGTATATAATAGACCACTGGAGTCTAGGGCCCATGGATTGCTTTCTTGTCTGTGAATACAATTCTAAAATGTCATACTTATCAGTCATTGGTGTAGATTTACCATGTTCTTTTCAAATTTCATGTAATTTTTAAAAATTCTAGATCCCCAGCAATAAAAGCAGACAAAAATGACCCATTTACATTTACAAAACAATGCCAGTGTTTTTCTAGGAATGGAGAGAAGACCCAGGGAAGTTATCAGCAGGAGTAGACTTTTATAAACCTATGGTGTAGAGTTCTAGAGACCAGACAGGGAGAATTCCTCCAGACTTTACTTGTCTTGTCAGCACTGAGCCTGTCCCAGATAGTTGGGTGGGGGAAGGTACAGAAATTCACTCTCCCCCAAATTTTGAAATAAGACAAATAATCTTAAGCAGTCTGAAAACAGAGTGCGCCCAGTTGGATTATGTAATTGAGTGGTGCCAGTGTTCCCTGGCAAGAATTAAGACTTTTGGATGTGTCTAAAGGATATTTTTGGTTTCTTATTTCATAATTTGTTTATATTTTTGGTTGAGTAAGTCAGTACATACTAATCAATAATTTGAATTCCTTGTAAATGGTTCCTTTTGATTTCAATTTTCAGTGATAAAGGTATATTTAAGAGGAATTAGATTCTGTTAAATGAATATCATATTTCTACTTTGTCTGAATTAGCCTTTGATGTGTAACAATTCACTTCATATTCAGTGGTTTGAAACAGCTCACTACGTAATTGCTGTGGATTCTGTGAGTTGGTAATTTGGGCTGGGCTTAGCAGGGTGGTTCTTCTGCCAAAAGCCAGGTTTAGCTGATATTCCCTGGGGTTTGCTTGCTCATGGACAGTTAGCAGGCAGGTTAGCAGGGGGCTGTCTGTCAGTGGGGCTGCTGGGCTTCCCTGGTAGGGCAGGCTAACTTGGGGTCTGTCACATAGTGGTTTCAGGTTTCCAGGAGCAGCAGGAAAGCTTGTGCCAGTATGCAAGTGATCGTTAGGTATCTACATGCATTGTATTTACTACTGTTCCATCAGCCAAAGCAGATTACATGACTCACCCATCCCAGGGAAGGGAAATTTTACTCTTGAGTGGGAGAATCTGTAGTGTCACATGCCACCCTGTGGTGCATGGCATGGGAAAACTGGTAGCCACTAACATACACTTTTAGTTCCTTTTCATAAACCAGACAAAACATTGCTCATTGCTCACTCCTTTACATTGTGAGGCTTCGGGGCATGATGGACTTGTGTGTATTACTGCATCACGCAGCATGACAGTGCTCTTATTCCCAGCTTTTGGCTTTCCTGGGAACTGCCCCGCCAATACTGCAGTGTATGTGCAATTAGATTCTCAGTCTGATAAGACATGTTTACGAGCTTTCTTTCTTCTTTTAAGATTGCCAACACTCCTGATAACTGAATGTGTGCTTGTATACATGACCCCGGAGCAGTCAGCAAACCTTATCAAGTGGGCAGCCAACAGTTTTGAAACTGCCATGTTCATAAACTACGAACAGGTAAAGGGAAGCACAAGAAATCTGCGTTCTGCACAGGGCGCCTGGGAAGGCTTTCCTCCGAACACCCTCAGTACATGTTTCCACTCTTCTGCCTCCAGCTGCGCACATAACTTCTTTGTGAATCAACTCCAGTACTTCTTAACCCATGACTTCCTGCAAACTTTTAGCCAGACTCTTTGGAACTTTTCTTTTGGCCTCTATGAAAGTTTTGAATTCTTATTTTGTATTTGTTTTTACTCTGGAGTCATAGATCTTGATGGAGGGGTTTTGACTGCCATCTTGCAGGAGTAGCAAACTCACATACCTTCCGAGACAGGTGCTGCCCCTGGGGGAGGTTGGCCAGGTGTCATGGTATGTGGTTGGTGGGGACCGGGGAATTCCGCTGCTCAGCTTTGTCAGGCGTTGCCATGTGGACAGTGAGCCTAGGGGTGCCAGAACCCCCAGTCATTCAGAAGTCAGAGATGTGGGACTTGTTAAAATTCCCTAATTTCTAAAATCACTGAGTTTGGTTCATTGGCTGCCTGTTTTTCTCTCTGATCCAACACACAGAGCTAGGTTTTAGAAACACGGAATTGTCCCACTAGGGCTTGAATCCTGGCCCTAGCTTGTTGGCTCTGTGACCTGAGGCAGGATTGCTGGTGGTTGGTAGTCCGTGTTCTGCAGGTGGACAGCCTTGTCGGATGACCTGGACCAGTTAGGTAACCCTGTGCCTGTTTCCTCATCTGGAAAATGAGGCTAACCACAGCCCCTCCTTCATAGGGCTGTTGTGAGTGAAGGAATTAAGATCGCAGAGACATTTTTGATACTTCCCAGTTGTTAAGTCAGCACTAGCTATACTTGGCTCTCTTTGAGGCCTGGTTCTTTGTAAATCGGAAAGAATAGCTACCCCATTACAGGTATCATGAGCTGCTGTGCTGGTGGGCTCATGACAAGCACTGAATCAGGGAGGCGACTTTACTGTCTATCTGATTTTACTTTATTTTTAAGCCTTACCCCATGTCGAGCGGTGGAGGGCCTTGCCCAGTGTCACGGTTATGACCAGACCTAGGGGTTGGTAGGTCTCTTGACCCACCACCCTGCCTGAGTGAAGGTTCCCATTGGAAGGTTCCTTGGCTGGTTCTTGTTGGTGCTTTCCTTTTCCCCTCTCTTTAACTGGGGGCACTGCTCAGACGTGGTGAGTGGAGAGTCGGCATCTGGCCTCATAGGTCTTTGCTTTCAGGTTCCCAAACCTGGAGAAAATGAATTATGCTTCCCATGTTTCTTGTACATATCAGATATGTGCTGCTCTGTTTGTCTTGTCTCACTTTGTCTTGTTTAGTGACCCTTAATTCAGCATCATACAGAGATAGCAAATTAAGTGAGCTTTGACCAGAATCTTGTCACACAGAGATACTCACTTGGAGCTGACCCACATGGTGCAGCAGACCTCTCCTGTCTCATCCACTGCTCCCCTCAGCAGACTACTTTGTCGATCTGCCTGTTCTGCTCCTCATTCTGTTGCTGGTGAATCCTCTCACAACCCCTGCACTGCTGGCCTGTACCCCAGTTCTGTATGCATAAATAAATCTTAAAAAAAAAAAAGATTTTATTTTTGTTTATGCATATAAGAACTGGGGTACAGGCCAGCTGTGCAGGGGTGTAGGCTAGAGGTGGTGGGCATGAGAGGGTTCACCGGAGACAGTGGGGAGCAGAACAGGCAGGTTGAAACACACTGCTGAGGGGAGCAGTGGGCAGGTCAGGAGAGGTCTGCCGTGCCATGTGGTCAGCTCCCTGGCTAGGGATTGACCTCCTGCTGCAGTGGCTGTGGCCAGCTTCAGAGTGCTGCGCTTTAACCCTCGCACCACCAGGAAGGCCCCAGATGGGCTCATCGTCTACACATTCCTATGAACCATGCTTTTCAGGAGTCTTGTCTGCGAGAGCATCAGCGCCTTTGTAGGTCTTCCTTTCCCATCTTCATGGCTGTGCAATATTGCATTCTGTGAACACACCACAACTGTTTAACTTCAGGTGATAGTTATTTAGGTTTTTTCCAGATGCTCATGTTAGACATGATTCCTGCATCTACGCATCCTCATGCATGTGCAGTTTCTGGGGTGGGCTTGCAGGCTCACAGGCTGAGCATTGTGGGGACTGTGCTGCCATGAGCCCTGTGGGGCCCCTAGGGGTGCCCCAGTAGCACCTTGCACTGGTGCCTGCCCCTGCCCCAGGGTTCCATTACCTGCACCGGTGCTGTGCAGGGTGCTGTTTCATTCTCAGTACTGAAGGAACAAAGGCACCCTTTCAGCTACTCCCTGCCTTCTTTTCCTTCCCAGGTGAACATGGACGACCGGTTTGGGCAGATCATGATTGAAAACCTGCGTAGACGGCAGTGTGACCTGGCGGGTGTGGAAACCTGCAAGTCCTTGGAGTCCCAGGTTAGAGAGAGAGACTGGGTGGTCCTCCCCTGCCCCAGCCAAGAGTGCACCCTGCCTTAGAAGGTGATAGCCAGAGGCCCCTGGCACAGTTTTTCTGCCCAGGCACTAGGGGCCTCCAGAGGACAGTGCCGGCTGCAGTCACTACTAACATATTGCTAACGCTGTCATCTCTCCCCACCCCCGTTTGATGTTGGTGTTGGAGTAGGAGTATTTTAAGGCATACCCCAACTGTATGTCATCCCCCATAAATGCTTGACTCTCACTGACATGGCCTTTCTTCCCCCAGGAGGGTCTCACCACTCCAGCCTTCCAGGCTGACATTAGCTCCTTTCAGCATCTAATGCCCAGCTCATGTTCAGTTTACAGTTGGTGTGTTTGAATCAGGATCCAAATATGGCCCATACTTGTGCTTAAAAGTATGTCCTTTAAATTTCTTGGAATTTATAAAAGCCCCTTCTACTGCCATTTTAATGGGTTAGTTTTTACACGTCTAATGTCACATCAGTGGAGTGCTTTATTTCCCTTTAAATATCCTTGGTTGAGTTTCCCACTGCTGTAACAGCGTTATTCAGTAGAAGAGTTGGGAAATAGAGGACAGATGGACCCAGAATGGGCTTTGGAAGTAGGGGTCACCTGAAAGTCTCACGTGCTTACAGCATTGCGGGCTTGTAGACATTGTCTGCAGTACCCCCTTCTCTCCACCCCACATTTCAGAAAGAACGACTCCTGTCAAATGGGTGGGAAACGGCATCGGCAGTGGACATGATGGAATTGTACAGCAGATTACCGCGGAGTGAAGTGAGCAGGTGTGGACTGGCAAGCTGGCTCGTGCAGTTAATTGTCAATCAAAGGCACACTTCTGTATCCTTCAAAGTAAAAAACAAAACAAAAACAGAAAACCAACACCCTAATTAGACATATTTTGGATTCACCTTGGATAGTACCTTCAGAGCAACTCATTAGCTACTCCCTGAGATGGGTTTGTACCAGAGCAGATAATCTCAGTCAATATAAACAGTTGCACCTGGGAAATCCCTACAGCAACCTCTGCAGTGGAAATTTTACACAATCCTGGTCTTTTTGAGGCCAAGAAAAATGACGTTGCCCAAGGGCCTTTCAGAGTGGCTGAGGAGTCTGTACACAGAGTTTTAAATATGCTTTTACTCTCATAAAAGAAATATTGTTTATTGTTTCAAAACAAGTGGTGCAAAGTGCATGAGGTATAAAGTCACTACTTTATAAGTGCACTTTGCAGTCACACCCTCCAGAGATAGCTGCATAGTGTGACTTTCTGTGTGTATGTAAGGTAAGTACTATGTTGATACAAGGATTTCTGTTTTCTGAGTCAGTAGATTCATATTACATGTATTGGTCTGTAAACCACTCTTTTATTTACCAATGGATTATATTTACTTTTATATATCAAAACATTGAGTGTTATCATGTCCTATTTAATGGTGCATGGTATTTACACAGCTCTTTGGCTACCTTGATCCTAAGTTTAGAGGAATTGAGAAGCAGTGGTGATAGCTGGGCATTTCGTTGTGGTGTCTTGTTTATCTTATTCTGTTTTAATTTCCCTGTCACAACCAACACAGAGGAATGTCATTGTACACCTCTGCTTAGGGTTAGTGCCAGCTTGAATTCTTAGGAGTGCGCAGAGCTGCTTGGTTTGTATTTTCTTTCCTCTTGCATTGGAGACACAGAGGTACAGAGCGCTCTAGTAACTTGTAGAAGAATCACTGTTGTTTCAGGTGCATCTGTCAAAGCCAAGACAGTTTGTGAAAGTTCTGGCCTACACGAGCAGGCTTCCTGGAGCCCCTAGAGTCTTGCTTTCCCCTAAGCTGGTCTTCATTGATGCAGCATCAACACAACTGTTCTGAATTGCCATGGTCAGACACGTGTAATACTGGGAATGTCCTGGTGACTCCGGTATGCAGGGCAGAGTCTCATACTGTGGGCAGCTTGGACCCTCCCTGACGAGGCGGGTCGTGAGCAGGGCAGGCTTTTGTCTGTTTCTCCTGGACAGTGAGCGTCTTGTAGTTTATACCTGTATTTGCCACAGGTTTTGCGCTGGGAATAAAAGACTGTAAGCAAATGCTGACTGCTTACGGTGTGCCAGTTCACCAGCCAGGGGAGGCAGCAGTGAGCAAAGCAGGCCACCAGCTGTGGTGCCTTGTAGCGTGCCCATCCCAGGGAGCCGCCTCCCAGCCTAGGGCCACCTGATAGTGGATCTTGGCAGTGATGGTCCTGGAGCCCTGGATATGGATATGGTGCGGCCACTTCCAGAACTTGGCATTAGGAAATCTGCCTTGGATGGTTCTGGTGAGATGAGGAGGGGGACAGCCGAAGTGCTTGATGTCACTGCTCTCACTGCCCGTGGCCTGCGGGGTGGTCGGAACACCCAGGCAAGCGTGTGCTGGAGTGAGGGCGTGCTCACGTGCACCCCCCACCTGTGTGTGCCCAGGCTCGCGTGCGCACGCTCACACAGCGCCTGCACGCTGGTGACACCAGGATATTCGCAGTACCCCTTGTGAAAAGTGGGATCATTCCACATTTGCTTATTTGTGCTTTCTAGAATTGTCTGATTTTTACCACATAGTTTGCCTATATTTGGACAGAAAAAACATATAAGGGTTGTTTTCCTTGGTCTGTGCATGGGTTTGTATATATTGAAAAATATACATTTAAGATGTTTTTCTCCAAAATCTTACAAGCACATCACATAAAATAAAAACGAAAAATTAGCATAGAATAAACAATCAGAAGCCGTCCATCCTGCCTGCCCTCCCCAGCAGCCACTTGCTGCCCGTGCTCAGGCCCCACGCCAGCGCTGCACTCTTGAGCATCCACAGACACCGCATCGCACCCACTTTATGTAGATGGAGGGTCCTGCACACGCGACGGGCGGAGCAGCTTGCTTTTAAGTTCCAGGGTATCCCAGGCCGTAGCATGTGGAATCATCCTGGTGGCTGTGGCTCGGTGTCCTGTCGCCTGAGTCTGACCAGCGCTCCAACCTCACGGTGTTTGCGGTTCACAGCAGCGTCACTGCTGCAGCGAATGTTCTTGAAAATGCATCTTTGTGTAATTTTACATTGAGTGTAAATTCAGAATTGCTGTGTTAAAAGAGGCACCGTTTGCGCATCCACAGAGGTAGGCAGGTGGCCCTCCCGAGGCCGGGTCCGCCTCGTGACTGAAGGGACGTCGGCGCCTTCTCCAGGCCGGTCGAGAGAATGCACGCTCCTTGGTCCTGGCCCGCCAGCTAGTTGCAACAGTATCTTATATTTTCATTTACATTTCTTTTCTCATGAATGAGATTGAAAACCACCTCTTTCTTTTGGGTGAGCTGTTCTCTTATCTGCCTTGGGAGTGAATTTTAAGTTTTTTTTCTTTGTAGAGCAGGCAAATCTACCTTTTGTCATTTTGTGTTGCAGAGACATTTTCTGGGTTGTCCTTGGCTGTTGACTTTGTTTGTGGGATTACAAAGTACACGGGTCGTTGTCTTCATTTTTAATTGTCTAAATTGATGCCACACTGTCATCCTCACCACAGGATTGAGTCGCTGGAGTTCCTAGACGAGATGGAGCTTCTCGAGCAGCTCATGCAGCATTATTGCCTTTGCTGGGCAACCAAAGGAGGAAGCGAACTAGGTGCGTGATTCCACACCAGCGGGTTTCACTGCAAATGGGAACCCTTTTGTCTCCAAAGAGTGGAAGACATACTGGATCTTTCAGCCCAGAAAGAGCGAGAGCATGGTATCCATGCATCTGGGAGCTATCCAGAGAATCAGCTCTCATGTCCTCTGTTTTTATAGAACAGAAGCCAGGAGAGCTGTGTAAACAAGCCACGTGTAGTAAAACTAACATAGATGCCAGCCAACTCCCTTGAGTGGACTTCTGTGGCATTTCCTCATTTGAGGGTAAAAGACCTTGAGAGTCTTAATAATAATGACCCTAATAAAAATAATCAGTGTTTGTCTTTTTAGTCAATGTACGACCAAGTTTATTAGCTGTCAAACACATTGGTCATTCTATCTCTCACAAACCCATGCAGCGTGGGTTGACTTTTTCCTCTTATCGCTTATGACTGAGGTGACATTCCCTGACCTGGCAGAGTAGGCCCGTGAGCAGAGGGCGTGGGTCCATATCTCAGTGCTTCTGGATCCAGTTCTTCACAACCACCCAGTGTTGATGTTGCTTCCTCTGGATTACCTCGTGGGTAGTGTCTCTCCAGCCTGTGGAGGCCATTGTAGATTTCAGTCCCGGCCTTTAATGTATCATGATTTTATGGCTCTGTGAAATGGTCATGAAGTTATGTCTGAATTTACTTACCTTTGCCCCCTTTGAGAAATGGAGGTTGGTTATAATGCAGTTGGGTTGATTCTAGTGTCTGTTCTAGTAGCTGCTCAAGCTACCCGCGCTGGCCTCCTGGAGAATAGCTGAGTGACAGGCTTGGGCCGGGAGCTCACGTGGTTTGGCAGAGACCAAGACTGTCCTGTGCGAGAGCTGCGGGCCGACACCAGGCTGTAGTCATTCCCCTTGGACGTGGGGCCCACTTGTTACACATTTACTCAGCCTGCTGCGGAGCCTACAGAACCCTCTAAACTTTGCTTTTGATTAAAAGCATTTGTTTTCATGTCATCATTCTCCCCCTAGTTTTAAAAACACTAATTTTTCACCAGTGACTTTGGAAAATTCTGAGAAGTGTGGTGAGGAAAAAAAAAGTCCCCCATACACAGTACCCTCTAATCATTTTTCCCGGCTGCTCGCTTTCTGGCCACGGTTTTGTTTTTAGCAGAGTTGAATTTGTGTATTTAGGTAACCTTAAGTCCTGAGTTTTTCAACTTAATATTCTATCGTAAGCCTTTCCTCTTGCTGTTAAAGCCTTAGTGAGCAGAATTTTATGGCTTTGTGAAATCCTGTCATGAGGTTAATGTCTGAATTTACTTACCTCTGCCCCCTTTGGGAAATGGACGTTGGTTGTAATGCAGTCGGAGTTAACTCTGGTTTCTGTCCATTGACAGTGTAGTGACTTTTTCCGGAGGGGCTGTTCTGTGCCCGCACTGTCTCACTGCCTTGGGGGCAGCCCTGCGTGTGCATGGAGAGGGCAGTCTGTGTTTGCTCGGGCCTGTTCCTCAGTGCACAGACTTAGGGCCTTTACTGTGGGGCTCCCATAGACTATTGGAAGGTTGTCTTAAACCCTTAGAGCTGCTCTTGGACGCAAATGCAGTCAACCTCTTGTTTCCTCATTAAGCCCGTCTTCCGAGCAGGGTCGCATGTGTGGCCTGTAGCCCGGAGCTGGTCCCCGAGGTCAGCAGGGTTGGTCCCCCTCCTGTTTCCTCTGCCCTGCATGGTGAGAGTTCCTAACAGAATTTGGGTGTCTCCTCCCTGCAGGGCTGAAGGAGATAACTTACTAATCTGCCGAAGGCCACTGCTGAGCCAGAAGCTGAAGCCGCCAGCCCTCCTGGAATTGACAGACCCAGTTTCCTGAGCAGTGGCTGGGCCTGGTTGATGCTTCACGCGCACTCTGGGACCCGCCTCGGCGGTCTTCCTGTTGACCTGTCGTTGTTGAAATAAATCTCAGTTGCCAATTGTCTCTGTGATGGTCCTTTTCCTTTCACCTGCTGCTAGACCTTTCCCTGGTCTTCACCCTGCATCTCCTGCACCCCGAGTTCTCCTGTGACCTTGGCTTACCCTGTGGGTTGGGTGTAGCTCCTGTCCTGCCCCCTTGGGATTTGCTTCTCTGTGCCCCTTGCACTGACCTTGCATCAGGCACCTTGATCCTTACTTCCCCTGATGCCAGGGCTCTTCTCTACCCCCACTTCTGCCCTTGTTGGACTGACCCCCCTTAAGTCCTCCTTTGCCTTGGTTATTGTGACAGCTGGGTGACCCCCCCCCCCAATGTTTCTGCCAATCTGTTCCCTGTGACTGTTACCTTATGTGGCCAAAGGGGCTTTGCAGGTGAGATTTAGCTAAGGATCTGAGTTGGGGAGATACTTTGTCCAGGAGTATCACCCTGAGGTAATTCCAGGGCCCACAGAGATGGCAGGAGGGCCAGAGCCAGGGAGAGTATGACGCTCACAGCAGGGACTGCTGCGAAATGCCAAGTCTGCTTTGGAATTGAAGGGAGGAGCCCCAAAATGAGGAATGTAAGTGACGTTCAGGTGCTGAAAGGGGCAAGAAAACCAGACTCTCCTCCCAGCCTTCAGAAAGAGCCAGCTTTGTGGACACTTTGACTTGAGCCTGTGATTTCAGATCTCAAATCTTTGGCTTTAGAAAGGCAGGAAATGCATTCTCAACCTCCACACTTATGGCCATATATTACCCAGTAATAGGAAGCGCGTAGTCACCACGCAGACTCGGAGCCTCAGAGTGCTCACCCCACAGCTCAGGGCCGTCGGGCCTGGCCACGCCTGTTAAGCTTTTTGGTTACATGACAGGGCTGTGAACCCGCAAGTGCAGAGGGAGCCCCACCCCTCCCGCCTTCCACCATGCCGAGTCTCTCCCTCTGTATTCTCACCCCGTATACTTTTTTTTAAAAGATTTTTTTGTACACACAGAAATGGGGTACAGGCCAGAGGTGCAGGGGCGGTGAGAAGATTCACCAGACAGACGGGAGCAGAACAGCCAGATTGACGAAATACACTGCTGAGGGGTGCAGCGGGCAGGTCAGGAGAGAGGTCTGTTGCGCCACGTGGGTCAGCTCCCTGCCCGGGGTCGAACTCGTGCTGAAGCTGCTGTGGCCAGCTTCCTAGTGCTGTGCTTTAACCCACTGTGCCACCAGGGAGGAGCCCTCGCCTTATACTTTTGACTCTAAACTTTTCTCAAAGTGAGTCACCCAGATTACTTTTCCATGTGTCTTAACCTCTCTCAAGTGGCTACTCAAACTCAGCATCTCGAAGACTAAGACATCTCTTTCCTAAATAGCTCTTTGTAAGCTTTGCATCCTTTGCCAGTGGACTCTGCACTCCATTCAGAATCTGTCATTGACTCCCTGATTTTACTTGTCATTGGCCACCTGGCCCTGTTCTGTGGACTCTTTTCATTCAGCAAGGTGGCTCTTGACCTGACCTGCCGCCTGCCCCCATCTTCTCTCACACCAGCCTTGGGCTTCTCTGGCTGCTGCAATCCTGTCCCCCGCAGCCTGTCCCTCAGGCGTGGGCACACGATGCCCATGATCGACTGCCAGAGATCCCTCTTAGCAACACCAAGTTCTTAGCGACGTGTGGAGGGTGCCTGGGGTGGGGCCTCCTCCCACCTGTACAGCCTTGTTCTCCTGTCAGCGAGTCGAGTGCCACATCTCTGGCTTTAGGTTGTTTCTGTCGCTCCCTGAATGACGCTTTTTCCAGGTTTCATGCCTGTGACACCCGCCCCGCCCAAGCCCACCCCAAGTGCAGATGTCCTTGTCACTGTCTTTATCAGTATATTCAAGAAAAGAGTAGCAAGTCGGAGTGTTGTTCTTCAGAAAATGGACAGTTGTTACCCTGCCGTGTGGGATAGCCACGGAGTGACCTGGGGAAGCAGCTTAGCCACGTTAGGCTGTCAAGGAAGCTTCCCCAGGAAACTCAATGGGAGGGGACAGGGCCCAGACTGAGGGTCAGCATGTGCAAGGGAGTGTGTCCTTCACCTCCAAGATCACGCATTGACAATGTGTTTTTATAGCTTTACTCCCGGTGTCCTTACAACTCCATGTCATGTTTTTAGCCACATTTTAAAGATGATGAAATAAGGGCATGTGGAAATTGTGGAATTTGTCCAAGGTTGCAGGCCATGCATGATGGAACTGGACTGAGAACAAGGCAGGCTGGCTCGAGAATGTGTGCTTTTGACCACTGTGTATGTGTGACCCTCGGGTCCCCCAAAGAGCCTGTAAAATCCCCTGCCACCACCAGTGTGGAGGGGGTGGTTGCCTGGCTGTTTTTCTTTCCTTACATTTTACAGATTGGCTTAGTTTGTATTTGGGGTTGCTCTGGATGCTGCTGCTGAAGAATGGCTCTTTTCTCCAAGATCATAACAGTTTATTTAATTGGAGAAGTAGCTTTACAGATATAGGTATATAGGATGCTTTGTTTCAGGAATAGTGCTTGCGAAAAATCTCAGGGGCCAGGATTGATTTCTGTGTTCTGCTTCAGCACATTGATTTATCTTTTGCTTGTTGCTGCGTGACTGCAAAGTGGCTGCCACAATAGCGGACATCACAACTGCATTCATAGTAGGTAGAAAGGTGGATTTTCAGCAGTCTCTTATCTTTTTATCCAGAATAAATCATTCCAAGCATGTTCCAGTAGACTTGCCTCTATAGCACATTGTAAGCACTGGGTAGGGTTGCCAGATAAGACACAGGATGTTGACTTAAATTTGAATTTTAGGTAAACAACATTTTTTAAAAAACTGTCACAAATAGTACATGGGACATACTGAAAAGAATTAATGTGTTTATCTGAAGTTCAAATTTACTTATTTGCAAAATCTGGCAACTCTAGAATTGTGTCTAGTTGCAGGAGAGGCTGGGAAATACAGTACCTGACTTTCCAGCTTTTGTAATGTGAGAAATGAAAGAGAAATCAGAAAGCTTTTAGATCATCATCCATCCCATGTGGCATCATTTTGATTGTGTTTGCTAATTATCAGAAAAATTATGCATTTCAAAGCAGCGGCAAACCGTCTTTACACCTTAAGAGTTTTGAACTTTCTTTTGGGGAGGGGGACGTTCATAAATAAAATGCCAGTTGGAGGTAAAATATATTTTTTTACTTTTACTTACTTTTTTATATCCTTCCTTATTTTACAAAAGGAATTGAAGTGGCTAATAAAACAACATTGACATAGAAGGTAAAATAAATGCTTAGGGGAGCTAGAACATGAATCTATAAAAAAAGGAAAAGGCTCACAGATAAGCATATTTTACTGTCTCACACATCTACTCGAAATGGGCTACAAATTTGACTCCTCCGAAGTCCTCACAAAGATCAAAACATGATTCAGGTTCCATAAAGCTGCAGCTCAAGAGAGACATAACTCTCTACACTGAGCCCCAAGAAGCGTCTGTGCATCCTCTTGGGGGCCCAGGGCTTGCTCAAGGCCTGGGTTTTAGCAGCTCCCTGGACTCAAACCCATACCTGAGCACCCAAAGGGAAAGTCTACAGGGGCCAGTGATGCAGTCCAGCCACAGCTCTGGGACGTGTAGAGTTGAGAAAACCTGGCAAAAAAAATAAACCCTTCAGAAATGATGAGCTACGTGTTTCCGAAAGAGGACACTTTACACAAGATTAAGTGGCGCTGAGTTTGAGTTCAGAGTCTCTGGCAAAGAACCACAGATCCAATTGACTGAGGTTTGAGGTCAAAATGCTCGAAAAGCCAGCCAGGAAGAGGGTAGAACGAAGGTCCCCTAGGAAAAGGAAACCGTCCCAAAGCAGAGTTTCATTTCAAAGTAGCTGCCTCTGCGTAAGGTGGAGCGTGCCACACCCGGCATTCCAGTCCCACACCCCGTCTTACAGCCCCCAGGACCTCGACTCGATGGAGGGAGCCGAAGAAGGGGAGGCAGGTCCTGGGGACGCTTGTCCCATCTGTAAACAAGGAAGACTTGGTGCTGGAAAAATCGTCTCACTCTCTGCAATAGAACTTGCTACACTCAGCCATTAACTGAGTAAGAAAGCAACCTGGGAGCATTCTGGGAACTCAGGTGAGGGCCATTTTCCTGATTTATTCACCTGCGGTTTCCCAATTGTGGGTGTGTTTGAGTCCTGGAGGTCTGAAGCCCGAGGATTACTCTCGTCTTTCTGAGGCAGAGGGAGAATTGAAGTAGCAGGGATCTGGTACCCATGGTGGGGTGGGGTTGGGGGTGGCCCTGGAGCAGTGAGAGTCAAGGAATAGGGGCCTAGGGACAGCCAGGGGGTACTGTGCCACAAGGAACATAGGAAACCACTTACAGGCCGAAGGGCAGTGCTCCCCTTGTGCTGGACCGAAGTGTGGGGGCGTGCAGAGGATGGCGCCATGTCTTTGAACTCTCTCCCCCCTGACTAGGGTGTGGCCAGGGCATCTGCTTTGGTCAGTGCGATGACAAACGAGACACTGCTTGACAGGTGCACATGCCTGGGTTTGCTTTCTTTCCTCCCTCAGCCGCAGCCGGTGTGAACCAGCAAGGTCCCCTGCTGGGTGACAAGGTGGGGCAGAGATGAGCTGTCCCAGATGAGGCCTGTCCTGGATCCGGTTCCTGCCAACTCACAGCTGACCACAGTTGCGCAAGTGAGCTGACCCCAGGGGCTGCAGGACTGTGAACTCGACAGGATTGCTGTTTGCAGCCGCTGTTTGGGGGCAGACTGCTCCCAGCAGCTAGTCTCTGTGTGTGGGGGGGTGGAGAGAGGCCAACCACCAGCTGCGGCACAGGCTGATGCTTAGCTCATGCCTGGCTGGGTTAGGTAGAAAGACCTCGCAATGAACAAGGCGGCCTCGGGCTCTGCTCTCACTGAGGGCCATGCTGCTGATGCCCTGGCTGGGGAGCTCGGCCCTTTCAGCATCTCAAAGCAAGTTGAGGAAGGCGCTCAGGGTGGTGCTTCCCGGAGAAAGCCACCTGCGAGCTGGGACCCTAGGGTGCAC